AAAAAAAAAAAAAAAAAAAGTTATATTTCTGGCAAGTGCAAGGGCCTAAGTTCAATTCCCAGTTCTGCCAAAGAAACAAACAAACAAAAAACGAAAAAACAAAATCGAAAAATTGTTTTTCTGTTACATCAGGCACTGAGCTTCTGTAAAGGGTCTTCACAACTGAGTGTGCCAATGTTGGACGCACATTTCATCTCAGTAATATTTTAACCTACTTCTATTTGAATATTCAGATGCACTTTGCACTACTTAGTGACATCTTACAGAGTACTAATGCTGTCAGTTAACTTGTTATCTTGCACATTCAGGTTGTGGAATACAACAGGTTGAAAGTCTCTTACTGGGGCCGGGGAGATGGCTCAGTAGAATAAACGCTTCCCTGGCAAGTGCAAGGGCCTGAGTTCAATCCCCGGTTACGCCAAAAAAAGCTCTTACTGAACACTTACGGCCTCACATGGCTTCTTCCGGGTCTTGGGGGACATGCTTGAGAGAGTAGGCTGGCGGGGTGTGTGGGGTATAGGGGTGGTGGTGTTGAGTGAATGGACAGGCAGGCCAGGGGCGGGGCCTGGAGTGGCGCACACGCTGTGTGGCTACGTAGCGTGTTTACGCAATGCGGTACGTATTGCGTCTGAGAACTGCGGCTGCGCCAACGGTTGCGGCGGAAGATTCGGCCGGAAGTTCACGCGGGAAAAATCAAGGCTTGCGGGAAGCTTTCTCTGGCCCCCAGTGGAACTGTGTTGCCAGCAGCGGAGGCAGCCAGGTAGGCCTTGAGAGCCAACGTCAAAAGTCATGAAAAGAACAAGCAAAGAGCAGCTGCAGGAGGCCTCTGCAAAGTGCCCTACGGGTAGGCAGTATACTTCCGGGGAGCAGCTCCGCCAGCAGGACGAGAGCCTGAAGCAGAACACTGAGGAAATGGCGGCTAGCTTCTCTGTGCAGGCAGAGACTGGCTTTGAAAACCCTGTAGCAGAAGCCTCCTTCCAGGAGGACCCCCAGGGGGCCGAGGAACAGTTTGGCCAACTGTGGCAGTTTCTCACCCAGTCAGACCCCCCGCCGGACTGTGACATTAAGCCGCTCCTGTACCCGCTCTTTGTCTACCTGTACCTCAGCCTAGTGGAGCGTGGCCAAACGAGCATGGCAGAAAGGTTCTACAGCCGCTTCCATGGCCACTTCCTGCAGGTTGAAAGCCAAAGGGATGTGGTAGAGCAGCTGCAGGCTGCCCACACCATTCAGGACGTCCTGGCCAACCCCACGCTTCATGCCTTCCTAGACAGCAAGTACGTGGTGCGTGTTCAGGAGGACGGCTACCATTACCTGATGCGCTACCTACAGAGTGAGAACCATGCTGCTCTGTGCCACGTTCTCACCATGTACATCCAGCTGGACGTGCAGCCTGCCGGAGGGGCAGACAGCCAGCGCAAGAGCGGAATAGAGGCCCCGCAGGAGTTCAGTCCTGCCCCTGCCACGTTGCTGCAGGATGAGGGCGCCTTGGAGGCCCTGCAGGACACCATCAGGCGAGTCCGGGCTGGGCCCCACTCCCTTACCACCTTCTACTTGTACACCTTCTACCACATGCAACAGCAGCAGGAGCAGCTCTGTCTGCAGCTGAATACTGCTGAGGTTGCCCCTGACCGCAAGCTGCTCGCTGCTGGCTTTGACAACTCCTGCATAAAACTCTGGAGCCTGAGGGCCAAGAATTTGAAGTCAGAGCCCTATGGGACGGATGTCTCACGCATTTGTTTCACTTGTGATATTCCGGAACGGGAGGAGGGTGAAGAAGACAGCGCCAATGCGGAGATGAAGATCCTGCGGGGACACTGTGGACCCGTGTATGGCGTGTGCTTCCTCCCCGACAGCTCTGGGCTGCTCTCTTGTTCTGAGGACACGTCCATCCGATACTGGGACCTGAGCACCTTCACCAACACTGTGCGGTTCGAAGGCCATGCCTACCCAGTGTGGGACCTGGACATCAGCCCATACAGCCCGAACTTTGCCAGCGGGTCCTTTGACCGCACTGCCAGGCTGTGGTGCCTTGAACGCACGCACCCACTGAGGATTTATGCCGGCCACCTGGCTGATGTGCATTGTGTCAAGTTCCACCCACATTCCAAGTACCTAGCCACGGGTTCCACTGACCAGACTGTGCGACTGTGGAGTGTCCATCAGGGGACCACCGTGAGGCTCTTCACAGGCCACCGAGGCTCGGTGCTCGCTCTAGCCTTCTCCCCCAACGGGAAGTACTTGGCATCTGGCGGCGAAGACCAGAGGTTGAAGCTGTGGGATTTGGCGTCTGGAACCCTTTTGAAAGAGTTGAGAGGCCACGAGGACAGTATCACCAGCCTGGCCTTCAGCTCAGACAGTGGTCTGCTGGCCTCTGCCTCCATGGACAACTCCGTTCGACTCTGGGAAATCCAGGATACACACTACAGAGCTCCCATCTCAGGCTCCTCTAGGGAGCTTCTAGGTGTCCACAGTGGGCATATGAGCAAGATCCTGAGTGTGCAGTTCATGGGCTCCAATGAGCTTCTGGTGACTGGAGTTGCGCAAGAGGGTCAGGAACAGTAATGCTTAGCCTGGCTGGAACCCACTGGGCTGTAGTGGAAAGCCTCTGACCGCACTACAAATATTTTACTATACCTAATAATATAATAAAAATAGAAATAGTATATTTTGTATAATATAGAAATTTAAGTATTATGATTGCAATTATATAATTGTATTTATGTTATTGTATACATTGACTGTGAAAGCCTTTACCCTTTCCTCCCAGTTTTCCTTAGTGCCTCAGTGTTGCAAGGCTTGGATAAGGCTGATCTTATGTACATATCAAGTTGTGCACATTACAATAAAGCAAGTTGTAATGTGTGGAAAAAGTTTAAATAGTTCTCTGCTGAAACTGTTATGTCTTGTTTTTATTAAAGTGCATTTTCATAAAGGCTCTGAGTGTCAGCAGCTCCTTATTTTCAGTATATCTGCAACAACAACAAACCTTTTAACAAAAACAGTTGCCATTGAAGTATCCTAGTGGGTTAAGTTTGTGTGCTTTAGTTGCATTTGTATGTTCATCCCACTTTTTACTAGCTTGTGCTTTTAAGGCATGTGTATAGCCTCTCTGAATCGGTATCCTCTTCTGGAATGTAGGAGTAATCAGAAACTTGTGATTGCTTCTTGGTCCTTGGCGCAGGACTTAACTTCTTTCTGGTTGTGTGCACTTATTCGCCCACAAGGGCTTTTCCATACGTGGCTAAGAGTTTGATGGTGCCGTGGTGCCTTTAACCTTAGCCAGATGCATCCCATGTTGTGCTTGTGCTCCTCCCTCATGCAGAGTCTGCTTGCCTCACCTGGGTTCTGCTAGTCTTTAATTTTTTTTTTTTTTTGGTGGAACCGGGGAGTGAACTCAGGCCCTTGTGCTTCCCAGGGAAGCACTTATTCTACTGAGCCATCTCCCAGGCCCCCATACTATTCTTAATCTCTGAAACACAACTTAATTCTCTGCCACCGACTTTTTGGCACGTTTTAAAGAATGAGTAACTTATTGTCCGTTTTCTTTTAACATGATTTTACAGCTGCCTCTCACTATGACACTCAGAGAAGAAACATGAACGGGTAAAAAATTGAAAAAAATACTTAAATTATAATACTTGGTTTGGGGCTTACTTTAGGCTTACAACGATAACCATCAAAATTTAACTATCGTTTTCCTTTTAGGTGAAGAATCTCACTAGAAATATAATTCAGGTACATTCACATTTTATTTCTGAAAACTTTGGTATTACTCATGGAAGTAAAGTTTTTTCTTTGCAGATAATGACGATTAAATTGAATTAGTAAGGTAAGAGTTCTGGCCTGTGCAATAATGCGTTTGTGTCAGTGTGTGAGTGGGGGTTCTGTTCTGAGGAGTAAACCCTCGGTCTTTGCACTAAACTTCAGTCTCAGCCTTCTTTTGAAACGGTCTTGTGAAGTCACTAAGTTGCCCAGGTTTGCAACTTGCAGTGTATACTAATACTTGCCTTGACTTGCAGTCCTCCTGCCTCGGCCTCTCAGGGTGCTGCAATTACAGGTGTGAGCCGGTATGTCTGCTGTAATATGCTTTTTTGTCGATATTGTTTTATTTGTATAATTTAGCTGAATTATTAAAGTCTTGGTTTATCTGTTTTGTGGTCCTGGGCATAGAACCCAAGGCCACATATGTGCAAGAGAAGTGAGTTACACTGTCAGCCATACTGTATAACCTTGAAGGTTATTGCCTTTGAACAGTCATCCCAAATGTACGAGACTTCACATTGTATTTTTAGGTAAATTTAAAAATAATATACCTAAATATATTAATATACCTAATAATATAATAATGATAGAATAATTTGTATAATACTAAAAAACTTTAAATAAAATATACTCTGCTTTCATTAGCTTACGAAAGGAAAGAAATTCCAAAGGATTCCACTGTATTTGGATAAAAACAAGGGATCATATTTAATTTCCATTATATGATTTTAATTATTTATTTTTTTTGGTGGAACCGGGGATTGAACTCAGGCCCTTGCGCTTGCCACGGATGCACTTATTCCACTAAGCCATCTCCCTGGCCCGATTTTAATTATGTTAATGTATACACTGAATGAAGCTGGCTATTAGACATCAATTGGAAATCAGATGATGGCATATGTATATCATTGTGTGTGTATGTATAGAACTCGAAGTTTGGAATCAAAAGTGTTCATATGTGTATTAATTATTTAGCAAATGTTACAATATTCCCAAACAG